CTCTCTCTCTCTCTCTCTCTCTCTCTCTCTCTCTCTCTCTCTCTCTCTCTCTCTCTCTCTCTCTCTCTCTCTCTCTGGTGCTCGGTGCTCATTGTGGATACGTGCTTTTCGTCACGTGCTGATCGTGGATCCATGCTTTGGTGCATGATCACGTGCTGATCGTGGATCCGTGCTTTTCTTTGGTGCATGATCACACGCTCATCGTCGATCCGTGCTTTTGGTGCTCGGTGCTGTGCTTTTCGTGCTCATCGTGGATCCGTGCTTTTCTTTGGTGCATGATCACATGCTCATCATCGTTTGGTGCTCGGTGCTCATCGTGGATACGTGCTTTTCGTCACGTGCTGATCGAGGATCCGTGCTTTGGTGCATGATCACGCGCTCATCGTCGATCCGTGCTTTTGGTGCCCGATGCTCATTGTGGATACGTGCTTTTCATGCTCATCGTGGATCCGTGCTTTTCTTTGGTGCATGATCCCGTGCTCATCATCGATCCGTGCTTTTCGTGCTCATCGTGGATCCGTGCTTTTCTTTGGTGCATGATACGTGCTTTTCGTGCTCATCGTGGATCCGTGCTTTTCTGTGGTGCATGATACATGCTTTTCGTGCTCATCGTGGATCCGTGCCTTTTTTTGGTGCGTGATCACGTGCTCATCGTCGATCCGTGCTTTTCGTGCTCATCGTCGATCCGTGCTTTTGGTGCTCGGTGCTCATCGTGGATACGTGCTCATCGGGGATTCGTGCTCATTGGGGATCCGTGCTTTTCTTTGGTGCTCGGTGCTCATCGTTGATCCGTTCTTTTCGTGCTCATCGTGGATACATGCTTTTCGTGCTCGGTGCTCATCATGGATCCGTGATCATCGTGAATCCGTGCTCTCTCTCTCTCTCTCTCTCTCTCTCTCTCTCTCTCTCTCTCTCTCTCTCTCTCTCTCTCTCTCTCTCTCGGGCCGTCCTCTCTCCTCCAGAGAGAGAGAGAGAGAGAGGCACCAGAGGCACCATCACCATCCCTCCTGCCTCGACCCGTCCTCCATTCCTGCCTCGACCCTCTCTCCTCCCTCCCTCCGCCCCATCGGCCCTCCCTCCCTCCCTTTCTCCTTCCTTTTCCTCCCTCGCCTTCTCCCTCCTCCCTCCGGTGGCGTTACCTACGCCGGCCGTCCGTCCTCCCTCGCTTCGTGCTCTCTTATCTGCGGACGATATAGAGAGTGCATTCCGTTTTTCTTAGCTTTTTCAATTTGCGTTAAGGCTTAGCGCCACTTTTTTTCAATGTGAATAAGGGCGAG